ACCAACAGAAGCTGAACCTTTCGCCGGCTTCAAGATCGCAGGGAACGCAATCTGACCCACAGCCTGCTCAATGTCCTGCGTCGTGGAACATGGGAACGATTTCCACGGCTCCAACCCATTGGCAATGAGGCACTTGCGGGTTTCGTTTTTGAACACGCATCTCCGTACTGCCTCGTAGCTGTTCGTCACCACACCCAGCTTCTCTGCGACCAAAGCGGTCAAGAGCAAGTACTTGTTGTACGCGTTGTAAGCACCGGTAACGTTGCCAATCGACACGGCCCGCAAGGCGTCCACGACTGCGGCGGCGAGCTCCGCTTCCTGCGGAAGTTGTCCGAGGCCTGGAACGACCACCACCTTGTGCACCACACCAGTGACCTCCATCTCATGAGCCCAAGAACCCTCGCCATCAACGACGACAGTGCTCATGCCCAACTCGTGCATCCTCTCGAACATGCCAAGGCTGCGAGCTCTGTGCCCGCTGCCAATTACCAGCGCCACCATGCGAGATCCGTCGGCATTCACGAACACCATGTGGCGAAGACGGAGTGCCGACAGGCGAGTGGCAAAAACAGACCACAAACACAAGACAACGTTGCAAGCACAAGGGCTTGGGCCAAAATGGCTGGCTACGGTAAGCGCAGGAAGAAGAGTAGGAAGAGGAGGAAGACTGGGAAGCGTAGATGCAAAAGGCGGCCGTCACGCGCATCAGCTGCTAAGAACCCTGGCGCAAGCCAGAAATACCATAGCCCCCGCAGTTGCGAATAAGAGTGAGGGGGCGGCGGGGTCGTCGACAATCTGCGGGGCGGGGCTCTGAAAAAGACCGGTGCAGGCGCCGTTTTCTCACGCATTCCGCAACGAGCCCGCCACAGACGCCGACTCAAGCCAACACAGTGTGTGCGAGTCGCAGGTGGACCGCGGGTGGGTTGCGGAGTGGGTCGCAGGTGGGTCGCGGAGAGTGTCGTGGGCGGGTCGCAGGAGAGGACGACAACAAGGCGAAACAACTAGCCCTTGGTTTCGGCAGCAACAACAAGAACAGTAACAATAGGAACAATTGTGTTGAGACTGTTCGCTCTTATCTGCTCGCGTGTCATTCAACATGTGTATCCCGCACCCTCGAGACCCGCCCCCTTCGTCTTCGGTCGTACCCCCATTGGGGGTCTGTCGATCGCCCCGTTCGCGCCCAGACTGTGGGAATGTCATAGGCGGTTGCCAGTTTGCATGCTCACTATCAGCTGCTGTCGGAGCCGTGTGCGAGGATGTCCCAGGCGAGGCGCTGGTTTCAGCCTCCCCAAACGAGGGCACCATAGGGTATTGCATGGGCCCGTTCGCTCCCAGATTGTGAGGACATCTCACTCGGTTTGCCTGTTTGCGTGCCCAACGTCCTTTGCTTTCGGAGACGTTTGCGAGGATGTCTCAGGCGAGGCGCTGGTTCTGGCACAGGTCACTCATACTCAGACTCACGCTCTCTCAGACCCACTCGTACTCACACTCAGGCATACTCAGAATCAATCACACACACTCACACCCCACTCCCACTCATATCAACTCGTACTCACCCAAGTCATGACCCGACTGATACACACATCACCCATAGAGTCAACGCCCCGTGCCCATCGCGATGTAGCAGGTGTGGCCATTGAGCTCCCCAAGGAGGAGCCGCCAAGGGGTAGAAGCTTGCCCGTTCGCACCAAGATTCTTGGGATGTCTCGAGCGGTTGACCAGTGTGGTGCCCAAGACTCTTCTTTCAGGTCCCCGTGCTCATCGCGATGTGGCAGGCGTGGCGTGTGAGCACCCCAGGGAGGTGCCGCCAGAGAGGGATTGCACTCGCCTGGTTGCACCCAACTTGTGGGGATGTCCCAAGCGGTGTGCCTGCTTGGTGGCCATCGCGATGTGGCAGTCGTGGCAGTTGAGCACCCCAAGGCGAAGCCGCCAGGGGATAGGACATTTGCCGATTGACGGATGTCTGAAGCGGTGCACCTCCCCAAGCTCGTCGCGATGTAGCCCTGCGCGGCACTTGAGCACCCGAAGAAGGCCGCCAGATGGGTACGGCATGTGCCCGTTCGTGCCCGAAGTGTAAGGATGTCTCAGAAGGTTCGCCTGTTTGGTGACCCAGACTGCTCTCGCTTCAAAGCCCCGTGCCCATCGCGATGTGGCAGTCGGTCGTGGCACCCAAGGAGGAGCCGCCAAGGGATAGGACGTTTGCCCGTCCGCGCCCAGATTGTGGGGATGCCCCAAGCGGTTTGCCTGTTTGGTGGCCCAGGTTTCTCTATTTTAGGAAACCCATGTTGTCTCGGTGTGGCAGTCGTGGAAGCTGAGAGCCCCAAGGAGAAGCCGCCAGGGGGCAGGACATGTGCCCGTCCGCGCCCAGATTGTGGGGATGTCCCAAGCGTTGCACCACCCCATGCTCATCGCGATGTGGCAAGTGTGGCACATGAGCACCCCATGGAGGTGCCGCCGCCGCCAGAGAGGAATGGCAATTGCCTGGTTGTACCCAAATTGTGGGAATGTCGCAAGCGGTTTGCCTGTTTGGTGGCCCAGACTTCTCTTTCTTCGAAGCCCCGTGCCCATCGCGATGTGGCAGGCGTGGCACGTGAGCACCGCAAGGAGGAGCTGCCAAGGGGTAGGACATTTACCCGTTCGCCCTCCGACTTGTGGGGATGTTCAAAGCGGTTTGCATGTTTGGTGGCCAAGACTCCTCTCTCTTCAAAGCCCCATGTCCATCGCGATGTAGCAGGCTTGGCGCTCGAGGACCTCAAAGCGGCGCGGCGAAGGGGTAGAACATTTGCCCGTTCGCGACCAGATAGCGGGGATGTATCAGGCGGTTTGCCTGTTTGATGGTCCAGACCCTTTCCTTTTCTGAGCCCTTGGGCACCCCAAGGAGGAGCCGCCAGCGGGTGGAGAATTTGCCCGTTGGCGCCCAGATTGCTGGGGGGTCTCCAGCGGTTTGGCTCTTCTGGGATCTGTTTACCGATCAAGACATGCATCGTTTCAGAATGTACTACCTTGCAGCACTTATCGAATTAGGTGTCTGGACCGGCGTTCTAAGCATCAACTGGTTTACTGCCATGTGCTCGACGGTCAATCATTTCCTCAACACACGGACAGCACCAACAGGGTCTGCCAGCGCATACAAACGTTTGCACGGATTCAAGCTGGATCCCTGCGGCCCCCGACAAATGAGTCAACTCTGTGGGACGGTTGCGGAATCAATATAGTCAGCGTCCACTTGGTGAGGAGAGGGAGGGGAGGGAGATCGGAAGGACAATAGGGCCAGGGGCACGATGATGAACAGGAGCCCCATCGCCAAAGGCCCAAGGCCACAGGGCAAACGCAAAGCATTCCAGGCTGGAGAGCCCAAACTCGGAAGAGGGCCAATGGAAACATCGGCGGCTCTCCCGCAAAGCACAATGCCGCTACAAATCGGTCCCCTGGACCCCTCCTGGGGCCCATGCTGACCCGCTTTCGAGACGGATCCGACCGCGGAGACGAGAAGCTCGCAGGGGGCCCAGCACGGACGAACAAGAACGCCGGGGAGGGCCGCCGGTGTCTCGAACTCGCCACCTCCAAACACAAACGAAAAAGGCAAGGGTACCCCTACTCCCCCTTAACCTCCTCCTCCTCCTTCCTTTTTCCTACTCCCTACTCCCTACTCCTTCCTCGGGGCCTGGCTTTTACCGACAGCGGCACTTCGATTGCTGCTTGCCCGAGGTGATCCGAGCAAGCGGCACTGAGACGCTACTAAATGGGTCACACAGGTCGTTGGCCCCAGTCAACTAGACGTCTCCCCGACCGTGTGTCAAGCTTGCGGGGAATGCCAGCTCATAAGCGCAGGAGGAAAAGGAGGCCCCCCCGTCCTCCGACTCCCTCCCCAGGGGTTCGCCGCCCAGGCAAGTCTTTTCGGGGGGAGGGCAAGCGGAGGGCCCGTTCTGGCCTTTCCCCGAGCTGCCACCCAATGCTCCCGTGGATCCCCCGACGGGCGCACGACGTGCGTCAACGTGATCGTAGTTCGACCGTTTCGTTCGCTTTTTCGCCCGCGATCTGTCAGCAGGCTGAGCCTGCACCTCGCGCGCACAGCCTCTTAGTGCCAGAGCGACGGGTGCAGGCTTCTGCATACCGGTCCTATTTCCACAAGCTGGCACGGCCCCGAGGTCGAGGCGCCGTCGACCCAGGGGGTCGACGGTCAGCGTCCCCCAGGGCTCTCGCTTGTGGAAGCTGGCTCTCCAGCAGACCAAAGACCCTGAGGACGTCTGCCTTCGGGACGTGTCCTCGAGCCTGGGAGGGGCCTGGTCACAGGCGCCTCTTCGACGCCGGGACCAGACGGCCACATTCGAACAAACATGGATCCTCACGTTGCCTGTTCGGGGGGTATTATCTGTCCCGCCGCGCCCCTCCGCGTCGCAGCCGTGTCGAATTTCTCGTCGAATCGTCGTCGAATCCACGTCGAATCCGCGACCAAGCAACGCCAAATCTGCGTCGAGTCCGCATCGAACCCGCGTGGGGCATGAGACAAGACGCCAACGTTGTGGACAGACTGGGCCCCCCCGAAGATGCAGCGTAAAGATCTGCTCAGGCTGGCCCAACCCCCTAGGATCACTCACTACGGCGCAGGTCCAAAGGCCGTCTTGGCGCCCCCTGCGGAATGACGCCACTTCAGCACTCGCCAGTCGCCAGAGGTCCCTGGGGGGCCCCCCAGAGGTCGAGAAAGGGAGAGAGATTCACAGAAGCACAAACAAAAATTGGGGCGGATGCCCGCCTGGGCGCCAGGCGGCAAGCGGCCCGCGCCCTCAACGCTTCGGGCTGACGCGCAGCGAAGTGGGGAGAGCGACCAGGGCCGATGACACACACACGCGCACACATGGTTACACACACGCGCAAACCACTAACAAGGGAGCCATGGGGGCGCGCACATGCCACATCAAGCCACCCACTGAGGCAGCGCCCAACGACACTGTACGGTCGACAACTGAACAATCAGTGAACAAAGTAACACACGTTCAAGACTACCTGACGACCGCCAATGCTGGGTAAGCGGGCGAGGGCACAGGCGAGGGCATAAGCTCCGCAGAAGCCTCGAGCGCCTCAAATGGCTGGATCGACGCGCAATCGGCCGGAGCGTTGCGCCGCTTTGGAGACATCACCTGCTCGAACAACAACGGATGCGTCAAAGCGGCGGCCGCGCAAATCATAGCGGTGCCGACTGCCGCCGTGACCACGGCATCGACGCTGCTCGTCACCTTGGGGGCAAGCGGAGCATCTGGCTCAACAAGATCCGCGATGCGCTCCTCCGCTGCACAGAGCGCCCCGGCGAGGTGCTTCCGGGCGAAACTCTTCTCGGCGCCCTTTGCGAATACCATAATCAACGAAGACGGCAAGCCCGGCACCTTGTAGCCGTTGATGGCATCGCCGTCGTCACAGAGGGGGACGAACTCCAACACGTGCGGATGCTCCCTGAACATGGATCGCAATCTCTCTGCGAAGGCATCGATGCCAATGCCAGAGACCTTTCCAGAATACGGGGATTCCACCCAGCCCGCCTCGTAGCACATCGAGGGCTCCAAGGGATGCATGTGGGCTACATGCCCCACGGAGATGCCCATGCACGTCTGCAAGTGAAGCTCCACCAAATCCATGCCGTAAACATGCTGGTGCATCCTCTGGACAGAGCCACCGCCCATGCGCGCATTGACCTCCAAGATCCGCACGCCACACTGCGGGGAGAACCTGACGTCAAGGTCGAAAACCCCCGTCGTCAAGCCAAGCGCCTGCACGGAAGCAACGCAGTGAGAGGCAACAGAAGCCTCGACGACATGCCCGTGGGCAGTAGGGAAGCTGCGGCCCGTGCCCTGGAAGAACTGCCCATAGCTCTGCTTGTCGGCGTCCATGACGGAGCAAAACAAGAGGCGGCCGTGCTGCATCACGATTTCTACACCAAACTCGGGCCCGTCAATGTACTCCTCCAAGAGGAAGACCTCGTCCCGAATATTGCGCTCGGCGCGCTGTTCCAAAAATGTCTTCACGGCCTCCTCTGCGGAAAAGACTTTGACGACACCAACAGAGGCAGAACCTTTCGCTGGCTTCAAGATCGCAGGGAACGCAATCTGACCCACAGCCTGCTCAATGTCCTGCGTCGTAGAACATGGGAACGATTTCCACGGCTCCAGCCCATGGGCAACGAGGCACTTGCGGGTTTCGTTTTTGAACACGCATCTCCGTAGAGATTGTTTTTTTATTCTGGCCGATAACGCTCGTTACCGGGGGGGGGGGGGGGGGGTCGTGCCCCTCGGGTAACGGTAACGCTTGGGCTGGGCGGGGTATGGCGAGGCAGGGGCGCTCTGCGATCGCCATAGTATGCGCGCGAGCAGCACTCTCTGCCTGAGAGCACCACAGTGGCTTGCGATTCGAGTACAAGCGCAAAGCCCGCCGCATGGTCCCGGGGCACCACGCCCGCGCCCGCGCGCGCGACGACGATGATCGACGAGCGACGAGCGACGAGGTCGACGACGACGACGACGACGTTTGTCGGACTCCGGAGGCCGTTTTTCGGGCGCCGTCGACGACGACGACGACGACGTTCGAGTACAAGCGCAAAGCCCGCAAGCACCAGCATCGCGCATGCGAGCGCCGCAATGGCCTGCGAGCGCCCACAGTGCGCCTGCGACCACCACACCACAGTGCGCATGCCTTCGGGCACCAGCATGTTGGAGGGGAAGACCGAGACCCCCCCCGCGTACGAGCGGTACCGTTACGGGGGGGGGGGGGGGGGGAGAGGCCCGGGTAACGAGCGTTACCCCCCAGAGGATAAAAAAACAATCTCGTACTGCCTCGTAGCTGTTCGTCACCACACCGAGCCTCTCTGCGACCAAAGCGGTCAAGAGCAAGTACTTGTTGTACGCGTTGTAGGCACCGGTAACGTTGCCAATCGACGCGGCCCGCAAGGCGTCCACGACTGCATCGGCGAGCTCCGCTTCCTGCGGAAGTTGTCGGAGGCCTGGAACGACCACCACCTTGTGCACCACGCCAGTGGCCTCCATCTCATGAACCCAAGAACCCTCGCCATCAACGACGACAGTGCTCATGCCCAACTCGTGCATCCTCTCGAACATGCCAAGGCTGCGAGCTCTGGGCCCGCTGCCAATTACCAGCGCCACCATGCGAGATCCGTCGGCATTCACGAACACCATGTGGCGAAGACGGAGTGCCGACAAGCGAGTGGCAAAAACAGACCACAAATGCAAGACAAGGTTGCAAGCACAAGGGCTGGGGCCAAAATGGCTACCGTAAGCGCAGGAAGAAGAGGACGAAGAGGAGGAAGACTGGGAACCGTAGATGCAAAAGGCGGCCGTCACGCGCATCATCTGCTAAGAACCCTGGAGCAAGCCAGAAGTACCATAGCCCCCGCAGTTGCGAATAAGAGTGAGGGGCGGCGGGGTCGTCGGCAATCTGCGAGGCTCTGAAGAAGACCGTCGCAGGTGTCGTTTTGTTCACGCATTACACAATGAGCCCGCCGCAGGCGCCGATTCAAGTCAACGCAATGTGGGCGAGTCGCGGGTGGAGCGCGGGTGGGTTGCGGATGGGTCGCAGGTGGGTCGCGGGCGGGTCGCAGGAGAGGACGACAACAAGGCAAAACAACTAGCCCTTGGTTTCGGCAACAATCACAATAATAGTAACACTAGCAGCAGTTGTGTTGAGAATGTTCGCTATTCTCTGCTCGCGTGTCATTCAACATGTGTATCCCACACCCTCGATACCCGCCCCTTTCGTTTTCGATCGTACCCCCATTGGGGGTCTGTCTTCTCAAGCGAAGATGTCTCAAGCGAGGCGCCGGTTGGGACGCTAGGGGGTTTTGCGGGCCCGTTCGCGCCCAGATTGTGGGGATGTCTTAGGCGGTTTGCCAGTTTGCATGCTCAAGATCAGCTGCTTTCGGGGCCGTTTGCGAGGATGCCCCAGGCGAGGCGCTGGTTTCAGTCTCCCTAAAAGAGGGCACCAGAGGGTATTGCATGGGCTCGTTCGCTCCCAGATTGTGGGGATGTCTCAGTCGGTTTGTCTGTTTGCGTGCCCAACGTCCTTTGTTTTCGGAGCCGTTTGCGAAGATGTCTCAGGCGAGGCGCTGGTTCTGGCACAGATCACTCATACTCAGACTCACGCTCACTCAGACCCACTCGTACTCACACTCAGACATACTCAGAGTCAATCACACACTTACACCCCGCTCCCACTCAAATCAACTCGCACTCACCCAAGTCATGACCCGACTGATACACACATTACCCATACAGTCAAAGCCCCGTGCCCATCGATGTAGCAGGTGTGGCCATTGAGCTTCCCAAGGAGGAGCAGCCAAGGGGTAGAAGTTGCCCGTTCGCACCCAGATTCTTTGGATGTCTCGATCGGTTTGCCAGTGTGGTGGCCAAGACTCCTCTTTCAGGTCCCCATGCTCATCGCGATGTGGCAGGCGTGGCGTGTGAGCACCCCAGGGAGGAGCCGCCAGAGAGGGATTGCAGTTGCCTGGTTGCACCCAACTTGTGGGGATGTCCCGAGCGGTGTGCCTGCTTGGTGGCCATCGCGATGTGGCAGTCGTGGCAGTTGAGCACCCCAAGGCGAAGCCGCCAAGGGATAGGACATTTGCCCGTTCGCGCCCAGATTGACGGATGTCTCAAGCGGTGCACCTCCCCAAGCTCGTCGCGATGTAGCCCTGCGCGGCACTTGAGCACCCGAAGAAGGCCGCCAGATGGGTACGGCATGTGCCCGCTCGTGCCCGAAGTGTAAGGATGTCTCAGAAGGTTCGCCTGTTTGGTGACCCAGACTGCTCTCGCTTCAAAGCCCCATGCCCATCGCGATGTGGCAGTCGCGGCACCCAAGGAGGAGCCGCCACGGGATAGGACGTTTGCCCGTTCGCGCCCAGATTGTGGGGATGCCCCAAGCGGTTTGCCTGGTTGGTGGCCCAGGCTTCTCTATTTTAGGAGCACCATGTTGTCTCGGTGTGGCAGTCGTGGAAGCTGAGAGCCCCAAGGAGAAGCCGCCAGGGGGCAGGACATGTGCCCGTCCGCGCCCAGATTGTGGGGATGTCCCACGCGGTGCACCACCCCATGCTCATCGAGATGTGGCAAGTGTGGCACCTGAGCACCCCAAGGAGGTGCCGCCGCCGCCAGAGGGGAATGGCAATTGCCTGGTTGTACCCAAATTGTGGGAATGTCGCAAGCGGTTTGCCTGTTTGGTGGCCCAGACGTCTTTTCTTTGAAGCCCCGTGCCCATCGCAATGTGGCAGGCGTGGCACGTGAGCACCGCAAGCAGGAGCTGCCAAGGGGTAGGACATTTACCCGGTCCCCCCCCGACTTGTGGGGATGTACAAAGCGGTTTGCATGTTTGGTGGCCAAGACTCCTCTCTCTTCAAAGCCCCATGCCCATCGCGATGTAGCAGGCTTGGCGCTCGAGGACCTCAAAGCGGCGCAGCCAAGGGGTAGGACATTTGCCCGTTCGCGCCCAGATAGCGGGGATGTTTCAGGCGGCTTGCCTGTTTGATGGTCCAGACCCCTTTCTTTTCTGAGCCCTTGAGCACCCCAAGGAGGAGCCGCCAGCGGGTGGAGAATTTGCCCGTCGGCGCCCAGATTGCTGGGGGGTCTCCAGCGGTTTGGCTCTTCCGGGATCTGTTGACCGATCAAGACATGCATCGTTTCAGAATGTACTAACTTGCAGCACCTATCGAATTCGGTGTCTGGACCGGCGTTCTAAGCATCACCTGGTTTACTGCCATGTGCTCGACGGTCAATCATTTCCTCAACACACGAACAGCACCACCAGGGTCTGCCAGCGCATACAAACGTTTGCACGGATTCAAGCTGGATCCCTGCGGCCCCCGACAAATGAGTCAACTCTGTGGGACGGTTGCGGAATCAATATAGTCAGCGTCCACTTGGTGAGGAGAGGGAGGGGAGGGAGATCGGAAGGACAATAGGGCAAGGGGCACGATGATGAACAGGAGCCCCATCGCCAAAGGCCCAAGGCCACATGGCAAACGCAAAGCATTCCAGGCTGGAGAGCCCAAACTCGGTAGAGGGCCAATGGAAACAACGCCGGCTCTCCCGCAAAGCACAAGTCCGCTACAAATCGGTCCCCCGGACCCCTCCTGGGGCCCATGGTGACCCGCTTTCGAGACGGATCCGACCGCGGCGACGAGAAGCTCGCAGCACGGACGAACAAGAACGCCGGGAAGGGCCGCCGGTGTCTCGAACTCGCCACCTCCAAACACAAACGAAAAAGGCCAGGGTACCCCTCGGGGCCTGGCTTTTACCGACAGCGGCACTTCGATTGCTGCCTGCCCGAGGTGATCCGAGCAAGCGGCACTGAGACGCTACTAAATGGGTCACACAGGTCGTTGGCCCCAGTCAACTAGACGTCTCCCCGACCGTGTGTCAAGCTTACGGGGAATGCCAGCTGATAAGCGCAGGAGGAAAAGGAGGCCTCCCCGTCCTCCGACTCCCTCCCCAGGGGTTCGCCGCCCAGGCAAGTCTTTTCGGGGGGAGGGCAAGCGGAGGGCCCGTTCTGGCCTTTCCCCGAGCTGCCACCCAATGCTCCCGTGGATCCCCCGACGGGCGCATGACGTGCGACAACGTGATCGTAGTTCGACCGTTCCGTTCGCTTTTTCGCCCGCGATCTGTCAGCAGGCTGAGCCTGCACCTCGCGCGCACAGCCTCTTAGTGCCAGAGCGACAGGTGCAGGCTTCTGCATACCGGTCCATTTCCACAAGCTGGCACGGCCCCGAGGTCGAGGCGCTGTCGACCCAGGGGGCCGACGGTCAGCGTCCCCCAGGGCTCTCGCTTGTGGAAGCTGGCTCTCCAGCAGACCAAAGACCCTGAGGACGTCTGCCTTCGGGACGTGTCCTCGAGCCTGGGAGGGGCCTGGTCACAGGCGCCTCTTCGACGCCCGGACCAGACGGCCACATTCGAACAAACATGGATCCTCACGTTGCCTGTTCGGGGGGCATTATCTGTCCCGCCGCGCCCCTCCGCGTCGCAGCCGTGTCGAATTCATGTCGGACTCGTCGAATCTTCGTCGAATCCACGTCGAATCCGCGACCAAACAAAGCCAAATCTGCGTCGAGTCCGCATCGAACCCGCGTGGGGCATGAGACAAGACACCAACGTTGTGGACAGACGGGGCCCCCCCGAAGATGCAGCGTAAAGATCTGCTCGGGCTGGCCCAACCCCCTAGGATCACTCTCTACGGCGCAGGTCCAAAGGCCGTCTTGGCGCCCCCTGCGGAATGACGCCACTTCGGCACTCGCCAGTCGCCAGAGGTCCCTGGGGGCCCCCCCAGAGGTCGAGAAAGGGAGAGAGATTAACAGAAACACAAAAAAAAATGGGGCGCATGCCCGCCTGGGCGCCAGGCGGCAAGCGGCCCGCGCCCCCAACGCTTCAGGCTGACGCGCAGCGAAGTGGGGAGAGCGACTGTGTACCCCAAGCCCTCGGCTCCCACCCACTTCGTCCATGAACGTTATATTTACCAGGGCCGATGACACACACACACACACACACACACACACACACGTGCACACATAATTACACACACACAAAAACCACTAACAAGGGAGCCATGGGGGCGCGCACATGCCACATCAAGCCACCCACTGAGGCAGCGCCCAACGACACTGTACGGTCGACAACTGAACAATCAGTGAACAAAATAACACACGTTCAAGACTACCTGACGACCGCCAATGCTGGGTAAGCGGGCGAGGGCACAGGCGAGGGCATAAGCTCCGCAGAAGCCTCGAGCGCCCCAAACGGCTGGATCGACGCGCAATCGGCCGGAGCGTTGCGCCGCTTTGGAGACATCACCTGCTCGAACAACAACGGATGCGTCAAAGCGGCGGCCGCGCAAATCATAGCCGTGCTGACTGCCGCCGTGACCACGGCATCGACGCTGGTCGTCACCTTGGGGGCAAGCGGAGCATCTGGCTCGACAAGATCTGCGATGCGCTCCTCCGCTGTACAAAGCGCCCCAGCGAGGTGCTTCCGGGCGAAGCTCTTCTCGGCGCCTTTGGTGAATACCATAATCAGCGAAGACGGCAAGCCCGGCACCTTGTAGCCGTTGATGGCATCGCCGTCGTCACAGAGGGGGACGAACTCCAACACGTGCGGATGCTCCCTGAACATGGATCGCAATCTCTCTGCGAAGGCATCGATGCCAATGCCAGAGACCTTTCCAGAATACGGGGATTCCACCCAGCCCGCCTCGTAGCACATCGAGGGTTCCAAGGGACGCGTGTCGGCTACATGCCCCACGGAGATGCCCATGCACGTCTGCAAGTGAAGCTCCACCAAATCCATGCCGTAAACATGCTGGTGCATCTTCTGGA